AGCTTTGGCTTCGGTATCCCGGTTCTGCTTGCCCTCGGTGATCACCGGGTCTGCTGCGGGCTGCCAAGGCTGAAGGCCGCGGGGCGTGTCGCAAATGATCTTGAAATGGCCAGTAAAAGGGGGGCCGACATGAGATGGGCGCTGGTCAGCATCGACCTAATATGGCGTTAGCATAGGCATCAAAAGAATGACTCGCAACATATTAGCTTACCTGATAGTTGATGAGACCCCATTGTTCCAGGAAGGCGTGCACACGCATGATGGCACAGACGTCGCCCGCTAGGTTGCGCCTGCAGGCGGTGACCGTCAGATATTCGACGGGGTTCAGCCGGTAGGCGTTAATCATAAAGTCGCGGTAGTCCTTGTATACCGCGGGTGTCTTGCTTCGATTCCTATTGTTGAAAAATTCGGGAAGTGCTTTCCGCTCGATGTTGTGAACGGTGTTCATATCGAACCAAGTGCTGTAGCTCGGAAGAACGATGGCGTGAGTCTGGGAAATCAGATGTTCCCTCGCAGCATTCTCGATAAACTCCTTTGACTTGACCTCGCCCGCGCCGTCCTGGCCGGCGCCCTCGGTCTGCCCTGACTCGTCCTTTGGCGCGTCTCCCATCTCCTCATCTCTGCCAGCCGTCTCTGCTGGAGGGCCCTCGGGCGCGTCGAGGGGATTGTCTGATGCCGCGCCAGGTGCTGGAGTGGTGCTGTCTTGCTTGATTGCAGGACCCTCGCTCATTTGCACATCTAGAGGTGATGATGGGTTAGAACATGAGCGACAAGAAAGCCAACATCAACCTAGCATACCTTTCGTTAGCATCATTGGTATCGGGAAGGGGCGGTTGCGCCAGGATGGGGTTGGCGCCCGGCGATGCACCATTGGTCGGTGTGCCGTAGCTGACCGAACTCTCCTCCATTGCGACGGCGGGGATGAAGTGAGAAGTGGACAATGTCGGATGCAGGAGTGATTAAGAGTTAACCAGCCCTTCTGTGGAATTAAGCTGCCAATCGAGGTTGATGGCCAAACGCGCGTTTTCTAGCGCAAGATGGTCCAAATGCGATTATGCAGACAAGATGCAGGATGGAGTCCTGATGTTAGCTGGCGCAAAAAGCTGTTTTGGCGATGGCTGCAAGGGGGCAGGGCGGTTCGTGATGGGTCGCGTTGGAGAAATTGATCGCGACGCACCACACACAGCACAAGCAAGCACAGCGGGACAGCCGTTCCAGTGCACGGACCATTCGATGGCGCGGGAGGTAGAATCACGTGAGTTGATAACCTGTGGCATTAGCCACACATTAAGGCTGATGGGCAGGGCCACAATGCCTGCCCGGTTTCGGACATCTGCTTGGCGATGGTTCCAGTCTGGGGTAAGTGATACTAGTGGGTCCTCAGAAGCTAACCTCGGGCCGCTTCAATCCGTCATCGAGCCTCGAAAGCAGGTCCGTTCCGTCCACAACCCGGCTAAGATCCCGAAAGGTCAACTCACGATTTACCGGTCAGCCCCTCCCAACAAACCAATTCATTCGAAAATATGCTGTCGGCCGGCCGCCGGGCATTCTCGGCGCTCGCCCGCCCGACGCTGCGGAATGCGACGACTGCCACCTTCGCCAGGTCCCCCGCGGCTTTGCGTCGCCTACTCTCGGCCCTCGCCATTCTCGAACAGCGCGACGGCCAGCTCAACAGCGGCTCGCTGAGCGCCATCACTGCCGCTCAGAAACTCGGGGGCTCCGTTCACGGCTTCCTCGCGGGCAGCAACATTAAGCCCGTAGCCGAGGAGGCGGCCAAGGTCGAGGGTGTTGAGAAGATTGTAGCGGTGGAAAACGGCGCATACGACAAGGGACTACCCGAGAGTTACGCCCCACTGCTCGTCGAGAACATCCAGAAGGGCGGCTACACGCACATTATTGCGGGCAACACGGCCTTTGGCAAGAATGTCATGCCGCGCGTGGCGGCGCTGCTCGACTCGCAGCAGATCTCGGATATCACGGCCATTGAGAACGACAAGACATTTGTGCGCCCAATCTATGCGGGCAACGCCATTGCCACGGTCGAGTCCTCGGATGCGATCAAGGTGATCACCGTGCGGGGCACCGCATTCCCGGCCGCGGCCATCGCGGGCGGTTCCGCGGCCGTCGAGGACGGCGTCGACCCCAAGGCGGAGAGCGCGGCGGAGTGGGTGTCGGAAGACCTGGCCAAGTCGGACCGGCCGGACCTGGCAACGGCGAGCAGAGTTGTGTCGGGCGGGCGGGGGTTGAAGTCGAAGGAGGAATTTGACAAGGTCATGCTGCCGCTGGCCGACTCGCTCGGCGCTGCGGTTGGTGCGTCCCGCGCGGCCGTTGACAGCGGGTATGCGGACAACAGCTTGCAGGTCGGGCAGACGGGCAAGGTCGTTGCGCCGCAGCTGTACATGGCCGTGGGGATTTCGGGTGCTATCCAGCATCTGGCGGGTATGAAGGACAGCAAAGTGATCGCCGCTATCAACAAGGACGCAGATGCGCCTGATCTTCCAGGTGGCGGACGTCGGGTTGGTTGGGGATCTTTTTGCACAAGGTACCCGAGCTGACTGAGAAGCTGAACAAGGCATAGACGTTACAGTTATAGTTACAAAAAATGTACAAATATCTCCACGACGTATGCACATACGCACGAAATAACCCGTCACGCATCAGCCCAGCACCGCCAGCATATCCGCCGTCGTCGTAAACTTCTCCCTCTCCTTCCCGACCTTCCTCCCCCTCTCCCTCTCAGCAGCATCAATCCTCTTCCACCCCTCCCAATCCACCACCCTCGCATTATCCACCTCCCCTCCCACCTCCGCCCTGACCCCCTCCCACCCTTCAACATCCTCACCACCCAAACCAGCCAAACCACCCTCATTCAAAAACCTCCCCTCCCCCCGGCCCCCAACCCCACAATAATCCTGCGCCACCGGATCCGCCGTCGCGAAAGCATCCTCCATCGTCGACGCAATCACCCCTGTCGGCCCCCTCTTCACCCGCCCGGCACAGTACAGGCGCGGAAAGACCCCCAGCTCCATGGCGGCGTTGGGCGAGTGCCGCTCATGCCGCGAGAGGCCGTGGACGGCGTGGCTGAGCCCCCCCCACCGCTCCCTGAAGGGCATGCCGAGCGGAGCGAACTCGGGGAGGGGCGTCGAGCGATAGCCGATGGAGCGAGAAGGCGAGCGGGGTGGGGAGGGTTAGTGTGTCGGGTTGGGGGAGGGTTGAGGGGGGGGGATGGGAGGGCGTAGGCTTGCGGGTCGAAGGGCGTGGGGGAGAGGGTTGTGTGGGTGAATTGGGTGGAGGCGAGGCGGGGCGTCGTTGTGGGGGTGGTGGTGGTGGGGAGGAAGGCGGTGGGGGAGAGGAGGAAGTCGAGGGACCAGGACTTTTGGGCGGCTTCGGAGGAGGGTGTGGTTGGGGAGCCTTTGAGGAGAATGTCCATGAGTCGGCGGGGGGCGCGGGGTAGTGATTTTGGGTCCGGAGGGATTAGGGAGGTGTCGATGGGGTGGAAGGCGACCGAGGGGAGGCGCATCAGTTCCCGGATTTCTTTGATGGTGAAGGCTGCCTGCATGGGGCCGCGGCGGCCGACGATGTGCACCCGCTTGACCTTGCTTTTGGAGAGAGTCTCGATGGCGTGCTCGGCAATATCCGACTTGCGAAGGACGTTCACATCCTCAAGTAGCATCCGGGCCACATCGAGAGCCACGTTCCCCTGGCCGATGATTACGGCCTCTTCCCCCTGAGTGAGATCTGGGGCGAGGTCGGTATGCTCGGGGAGGCCGTTGTACCAACCGACAAATTCGCGGGCTGAATAGACGCCTTTCAAATCTTCGCCCGGGATGCCGAGAGTCCTGTCCTTCGCAGCACCGTATGAGAATACCACGGCGTTGTAATGACGGAGGATGCTGGCCAGTGGGATAGTACCGCCGTCTGGGTGATCACTCTTAGTGCCGACGGAGACGTTCCCGATAAAGGTGAAATTCGGGGAGGAGGCCACTTCTTCAAACTTTTCCTGGCAGTTCTGTGACTTGATTTAACACGGACGGCCATAACAACCAAAACAGGGCATGTCATGTATGTACCTTCACTTCGGGGTGGTCTGGCGCAACTCCAAACCTCACGAGACCAAAAGGAACCGGCAAGGCTTCGTACATGTCGACCTTGGCGTTTTGAATTTTGGACATGGCCCTGTAGGCCGTGTAAAAGCCGGCCGGCCCAGAGCCGATGACAGCTAACCGGAATGGTCGGCCATCATCACGAGCACTTTGCGCCGTAGACAAGGTCCGGAATGTGACGGGATTCAAGCATGAGGCATTCAGTTTCCGCATCCAGGCCGCACGCGGCTGCCACCTGGCGTATCGGAGGGGAAGCATGACGTCACCTGATATGAAAGCCAATTGCTGCGTACGATGAAAATCAAAATGAATATATATTTGAAAGGCAGATTAAGATGGATTGAGTCAAACCCCAACGCCGAACCCGGGATCCGCTCCGTTGTAATTGCGGGTCTCAGGGCCGTTTTCAGTGGAACTCGGAGCAGCAGGCCATCGCCGGCGGTCCTCCGAATGCTCCACAGCGCCTCGGAGATGAAGTAAGTACCTACCTAACTAAGTCACAAACCGTACATAAGAATTTATTGTCATATTTGAGAGTTACGCAGTTTTCCGATGCCGCTCGTTACCTAAATTTGGAACCGAGGAGAAATGCCGGGAAGGTACATACTTTGTAGTGATGTTGCACACAGCGCTTAAAAGATGGCTTTCAGGGAACCGAGCTGAAACTTGGTCCGCTGTAGGTTGTTGCCCGGTCAACCATGCCCGTCAACATGTTCCTGCATTGCGCCCCGATCTGGCCCCACGACTACATCTCAAAGTCGGCCTCACATGCACATCCGACACCTCAATTGTCATTTTTCCTACGTAGAATTACCTACCTCCCACATTCCACAAGAAAACGGCAGATCGAGATAAACCGCCACAATGGGGGGCTCTCAGCCGCCGTTCATGTACCAGTCCGTCAGCAGGGACGACGAGAGATTCCCGGCTGTGAAATTCGATCCAAAGGCAGTGACTCGAGCAAGCTACGAGTCAAAAAAACCGAAACCCAAGCCAGACGGCCCGCTTGTCTCATTCAACCGTCATCCCGAGTATGTACCCTCTCCCTTCCAGGTTACTCTCCTCCCTCCTCCACAACTCCATACCATACCTTGGAATCAACATTCCAGTGCTGCTATCCCAGACACCCGCTAACCTACTGACACAGTGCTCTCATGGTACCCAATGGGCGCAAACAAAAGTATTCCCCAATGGGCCAGAGGACAAAGAGCTGGATCAAGGGTATGCGCGTCGTGCAGATGTGTCTCAGAGTTGTCCAGGCCATCGCCGCCGTCGGCCTCATTGTTGCTATGAGCGTATCAGGGCTGGTAGGATGGGTTGTTATCGGGACCGTAAGTTACTATTCACCTGCCACCCGGCCACGCAACCCGTTAACCGCCGTCACAGTGTGCCATTGTCATTCTCCACTGCATCTACAGCGTCTTCCACCATGTTCGGCCAGCAGGAGCTAGGACCCCCGGCTCGTCTGCGGGTTATCAGTTCTTCGCCGGTCTCTCTGACCTCTGTGTTCTACCTCTGTACGCGTACGGCGCCATCATGACCAGGAACAAGAACGAAGAGTGGAAGACGACGGCGCCCCCTGACGACCCGGACGTTGTGAAGTACATGGTCCCGTCTGTCTTCTACGGTCTCATCGGCGCTGGTGGCTTGCATCTTATTTCGCTGGCTATCTCCCTATGGCTCGGCTTGATGTTCCGCCGCATCGCATACATGCCCCCGGACATGAACCCGCTCGAGGCCAACCTCACCTCGCGCGTACACAAGCGGAATAAGTCCTCTGTTACCACCACATCGACCTACTCGGACGAAAAGCGAGAGAGCGAGCTCTACGACGGCAGCAGCTCCCCGCCCGCCGTCGGTCCCTTTTATGCATACCCGCCAGGGGTCGGATCTCTCTCTCGCCTCGGGTGACTCTCGCCTGAACCTACCCAGCCGGCAGTATCAAGTCCCCACCAGCAACCGCAACTCGACTACCTCCCAAGACCTGAAGCGCATGTCTGCCCCGCCTCCCCCAGCGCACCGCGCCTCCTACACGGAAATCCCTCTCGGCGAAACCGGCGCTTCCTCCGCCCGCCCAGTCTCTGTGCACTCGTCCTGCCCCAGCACCGGCTCCGTGCCCTCCTACCGCGCCGAGCCCGTCTCCCCGGCCCAGACTGTCCAGCCGCGCTCCGCCAAATTCACCGAGACCTGGTACGCCTCCGAGTCCCTCATCAACCGCACCCAGCAACGCAACCGCGCCACCCCCACCCCCAAAAACAAAGCCGCCTACGCCTCCCTCGACGCCTCGGACGGCGACGACAACTCCGACTCAGAAAACGACACTTTCTACACCCCCGCCCGCGGCACCACCACCAACAACGAAAACGCAAACCACCCCAACCCGCTCCGCTCCAACCCCCTCGCCACTAACGACAACACCACCGCCACCCCCACCACCCCCCGCCGTCCCCGAACCCCCTTCTCCCGCCTTCGTAACTCCGTCCTCTCCACCATCTCCCCCAACGACCGCCGCGTCTCCGGCAGTCAAGACATCACCGACCAAACCCACACCCACAGCACCAAAGCCCTGGCAATCGGCAGCAGCGGAGGCCCGCGCAACCGACTCTCGTCCATCCAGCCCGACGGCGCCTTCTTTCTCGAAACCGTACGGCGAGCTCCGCGCCGCGACGCCGCCTGTCATTGTGGGCGGGAAAGATGAGAATTTGGGGGGTGGCTGCCGCGAGGGAGAGGGTGGGTGTCGTCGGGGAATGATTATGATTTTGGGGAGTGGTGCCGGCTGGGATGGGGGAGGGAGGAATGTGAGTGGGAAGGTGGCAGAGGAAGGGGAAGGGCCGCGGCAGAGGTGGGTCCGAGGTATAGTGTGTTGAATGAGTAAAGGG